GTTTTTACATAAAGGTATAGTAAATCGAATATTTGTTTCTTGACAACGATAAATGCAGAGATTAATATAAATTGATTGACAAAAAGCTATTTGAAAAAAAATCATAGTAAGAGGGGGAAAATGTAGTTTCAAAGGCAAAGGCCTCCCTTTCTGATGGACAAATCACAGCTTAGCTACCTTTAAACTAAACTAAATGTAAGTTTTAATATTCAAGCTATTTGTTCATGCAAGCTCTCAGACAGCTGTGTATGATAGATGGAGAAGATTCCCAACTGTTCTGAACTTCTTTTTTCTTTAGAAATTCATGCAAACAGCCATGATTCAGCCAAGAGAACTGCCATCAATCCCATCTTCTAAAGGTGCATTCATACAGCTGATCCAGGGATCAGTTCAGGGAAGAGTTGAATCAAGAGAGTTCACATCGGTTTGCTTTCACACAGACATTTTGAGACCAGGCCAAGCAATGTCACCCATTTCTAATGGCTTCTTTCAAGGGCTATTTTTTTCCAGTCTTGAGAGACCAAGATAGAAAAAAAAGCACAAAGAAGAAAGACCATCTGCCTGACTTTCTGTTGCCATTGTTCTTTGGTGTTGAAAAGCAGAAGTGGATCTGCATGTTTTCACTACTTGCCCCATCCTATGCTTTAATTTGAGCTCTTAAAATAATTAATTTTTCCTCAACTCAAATTGGCTCATCTTACATCACATCTTTTTTTTTTTTTTGGTTTGGGCATACTGGGACGGTTACACTTTCTGACTATAAGCAAACCGCTCAGGGGTCAGAATAAACATCTGCCACAGTATGGATTCAGGGTTGAAAGTTAAAAGCATTCCAAAGGATTGATGTGGAATCACTGCAAGGTAAAGGTGTTTGAAAGCAAGTGTTTGCAACAGGTTTAGAAAAAAATAGCAACTGCTACTGCATTCCTCCCTAGTTAAATAACATCCAGAGTAGCGCTGATAAAAAAAATATATAATCATGTGTTTCTTTTATATTTAGCCACAATCACTTTTAACCCTTGCTAATTATCAAAATCGGTCCAGTATAACCTAAAAAAAAGGACTGTACATTAGCTTTATGTCAGTTCGCAAAAAACACACAAACATGATGTCAAAGCTGTTTTTACAATTATTACCGCCTGGATGGGCTAATTCTTAAATACTGACCTTTTTCAGAATGTAATTCAAGCTGAGTTATTCTATCTTGATAAAAGATACTTGAAACATTGTCAAAACAAAAAGATGTTTCTATGTGGTTCAATAATTTTTCTCAAGAGACAAATACTTGGCAATACTTGTTTACAATGTAAAGTTTGTTCCTTAATAAAAAACAAAAGTGGAACTTTTTTGTATCAAAAGCTTGAAATTTGTCATTCTTCACCCAGGATAGGTTAATAATTGCATTGGGACATTAAAATTTTGAATTTGACATTGTTAGGGTTTGTGAAAGTTGTAGGGAAGCGGCTGTTCCAACCGTTGCATTTGCAAATTCAGTGGTGCACGACTTTACACGTTAATGTGACTGGTCGTAGGATTGGTGGAAGGTTTGCAAGCAAGTCTGATTGTGGACGGTTTGTCGGAAGCGCCTTGCTAACCAGTTAGCAACTTAGTCCTAGTAGGTGCAACCTGACATATAACTAACTGGCCTGCATAAGATAATGGAAAAAAACACAGATTTTAAGACAGGATTTTTTTTAGCAACAGAAATTTTCTAAATTTTGGGAAAATATCGTCTGATAAATAGTAAATTTATATACATGTTTAGGCCAGAATGATTTGACATTTAAATATGACTTCCCTACGACTTTAAGCTTCTAAATTTCTCTTGATTTAAGTGACTATGTCAGTAACGAACTTTCCAAACGTCTGGCATATTCTAAGCTAATGAAAATATTTAATTCTAATATTTTCGATCTTTGATGACATGTTTGTCTCTTTCTCTGTATTACCCTACAGATTTACACAGTACAGTCCTATGGAAATGCTTACAGTAGACACAAGGGGGAAGCAACTATGCACAAGCCTCAGGTCCCCTCACTCAATGATTACCGGCCTGAAGCACTGACTCCCATCATGATGAAGTGCTTTGAAAGGCTAGTTAAAGAACACATCATCTGCAGTCTGCCGCCAACAATCCACTGAGGACCCCATCTCCTCTGCTCTTCATCTGATCCTGGCACACCTGGAGGAGAAGAACACCAACATGCAGATGCAGCTTTCAACACCCTCATCCCATAGCATCTGATAGGCAAACTGGAACAGTTGGGCTACAATACACCCCTCTGCAATTGGCTGCTAGACTTCCTCAAAGACAGACCTCAGATAGTCCGGGTTGGACAGAACACCTCTGATATCATCACCCTGAGTACAGGCTCCACTCAGGGCATCCTGAGCCCCCTGCTGTTTACCTTGATGAGTCACGACTGCGTCCCCAGGTTCAACACCAACCACACCGTGAGGTTCACAGACGAAACCGCCATGGTGGGCTTCATCAGAGTCGACAACAACCAGGACTACAGAGCACCACATTCTTTGGGGTGCACATCACAGACACCCTCATCTGGACTGTAAACACCACCTCACTGGTCAAAAGGGCACAAAAGCGCATGTACTTCCTGTTGAGGATGAGGAGAGCCCACCTGCCCCCACACATCCTCACCACCTTCAACAGAAGCACCATAGAGAGCGTTCTGACGAGCTGTCTCACTGTGTGGTGTGGAGACTGCAGCACCTCAGACTGAAAGAAGGTTAGGAAAGTAGTGAAAACAGCAAAGAGAATCATTGGGGCTCCCTCCATTAAAGACATTTCATCACAGTGCTGCGTGTCCCGAGCCCGTAACATCATAAATGACCCCTCACACCCCCACCATGGACTGTTCTCCCTGCTGCCCTCGAGGAAGAGACTTCGAAGCATCTGATGCAGGTCCAGCAGATTCGGGAACAGTTTCTTCCCCACTGCTATTAGACTGTTGAATGTTGTATTAAAATTGGATTAAAAATGGGATTTAAAAAAAAAAATGCTGAATGTTGGAAACTCTAAATCATATATCAGTCTTATGTTTACATTTTATCACTGCTGCTTACATTTTATCACTACTGCACTTTAAAAATGGAAATGTCTTGAGAGCTGTACTGTACTAAATTTCTGTTTGTATACATTCTGTGTGCACAAAATGACAAGAAAGCAAAACCTTGACAACAGTGACTTTAATCTTAGATATAGATCAAATATACTTTGTTGGTTGAGGAGCTTTCTCAAAATCAATTTCTAAACAAATGATCCCTTCCGAAAAACAGTAGAGTGCTCACTGACAGAGATAACTGAAAGTGAAACTTAAAGCTGGAGGCTGGGGTCTTACTTACTAATGACCATGAGTTATTGATTGGATTCATTCTGACACTGGACAACCAATAAGCAGAAAGAATCCCCAAATTAAAGAAAATCCTGTTTTGATTTAGATTTTAAATTATAAAAAAGGCTTCCCCATTGAACATTATGAACATTTTTTAAATCGGCATTCTTTTTAAGGATAAGTAATAAAGTAGATTCCTGCAGGGGAATGTTTAACCTTCTTTTTGACTTGCATGACCCTTGTGCACTTCTCTCTTGCTTTGAGATATACAGTACTGTATAAACAAACATGCTGTCTCCTACAGGCTGACGGATGCAACATATACACAAACACAAAGTCACATTTCTTTACATCAAAATATTATTTTGAACGTTACATGCACATCCTGCAAACATTCATGCTCTAAAAGCTAACAACACTTCCACTTTTTTCCAAAAAGCACAAAATCGGATTTTGAAGACTTTGCTTTAGATTGGGTTTAAACTGAGATAAAGGTTTAAAAGAAAAATAAAACAGAAGTTCTTAACTATGTGAGCAAACTTGTCACCCTAAAGCATAAGAAAAAATGACCACACACACTTAATTTGTTATGTTATCATGAAATCCTTTCTCCTCACGGATGGTGACTCATCTTTTGTCCCTAGTGAACCCGTATCTGGCAATGAGGTCGTAAAACATTTCATATGATGCAATGTGCCACTTAACAAAGCACCACTTACCACATGGGGAGCACCTCACTAAAAACAGCCTACTTACAGCTGAATAAAGTAAACAGAAATAAGCCACCCATAGCTTGATATGGTAAATATGTGTTATGGTCTAATCTGTTTGTATTTATAATGAAAATCCCCTTAACTGGATGATCTGCCTCAACTTATTATGCATGTGTTTTCACAAGACATTTGTGGGATGTCAGTATTTCAGAACATTAGTATACACTGGATGTCAGTCATTAAAACTGGGTGTGGTGGACCTAAAATAATAAAAGCTTGTTTTCATATAAGTATATATAATGATATATATGCTGCATCAGGTCCCCAGACATCTAGAAGTCAAATCTCATACCGCATCAGGTGTTTTTCAGTGACCTGTACCTCAGTTCAAAGCTTTCAAAGGAAATGGCACTGGGTGACTCCTGGAGATGCATCAAAAGCTATATTATTCATTAGGTAGGAGTGGGGGCTTGTGTCATAACCCACCGTCTGCTCTCTAAGTCTCCCCTCCCATTACACATCTCAGTCAGATGTAATAATAACACCTCATTGCAAAGGCTTCCCAACACTGTGACCTTGTGCTTACGTTCTCAACTCACCTCCCTGGAACAGACCCGGACAAAGCGTATCCAAAAAGAGCACAACAAGTGCCCAAGTGGCTGCCTCATACTATCCTGCCACCTTCAGTGGATACAAGCCTCCTACTCTGTGCTTCTCAGCGCGTTTTGGTGAAACACACGCTTAAACAATCACAGAGCATCAACGCAATTACCATCAGCTTGCTGTGACACAAAAGGTGTACGGAAAAAAAAACATGCGTGCACCTGACATCAACATGGCCAACTCAAGGGCGTCTGGAAACCACCGCGAAAGCTTTGCGTCTGGAAACGATTTCAAATGATCCATCAATTTCATGATGAGATCTTTTGCTCACCTTTATTGCTGTCTTCTTCTCTGTTGAGATGCATGACTCGTTTTACCATCTACTCATTTAGACTATCAACTAACTAAGCTATGCGCTTTCCTAAAAGAGTTGTCGAGATGAACTCTTATCCCATGTATTTCTGCTGTCTTTGCCCGCCGGATGCCTTCTTCTGTTGGCACACGGAGACGCGCCTGCACTTGTGCGCTGTGCGTCCTCCTCTCTGTTCTCCTTCAGTTGGAGTAGGTACAGTCTAGGTGAGGTTTGGAGTCTGCGTTCTGGCTCTGTCCACTTTCTCTCTGAGTATGTTTATCGCCTGAGCCCGCATTTGCTCAAATGACTAGTCGGAGTAGAGGGGTTTAAAGGAGGAGACGGCAGGCAGACGGGCGGGGTGACGTTAGGTGTCGGTAGGGGGTCGTCTTCTCGGAGGCGAGGCGAGGAATCGGCACGTTCTTGGTGATTCTTACCGTTTTTATCTGAGGTCTTCATGGTGCAAGCAGACTTCTCTGGGAGCTCCTCAAAAATGAGCCTGACCTCATTTTTAACGGAATAAATTTGGGGTTTCCAGCGCGCGCACGTGTGTGCGTGGTTTGTTTTTATGAAGATGATTGTTACTCAGTTAAGTAGCTGTAGGGAAACGAAATATTTTAGTAATGTGACAGTCCCTGCTGAAAATATTAGGAAAAGCCTAAAGCTGAAGCAAATGACAGGGACTCCTGTTTTCAGTCATCTACACCCTCTATGCTGTTTCTATTTCTGAGAGGATGCCTTTACGCACAAGCTGCCCAAGTTGTGCTTTAGGTTCAATCTGTTGCTCACGTGTTGAGCCCGTATTGGTTTCACTGGAGTCATTTTACGAGCGTCTGTGCGCTTTTATTGTTATTATTATTATTATGGCATTGTAGCCAATAGGCCCAAACAGCCGCTATGGAGCATTTACTAACAGTTCACGTTCGCCTGGAGCCACGCGTTGAACGTGGCTCTCTGGCGATCTCTAGTGTTGCTCATAAATCAACTGCGCTCATCTTGGTTGTCAAGAAGCTTGGCCATCCAAAGAAGAAGATAATGAATTTTGAAAAAGGAGAAGTTATGCATTAAAGGAAATCGAATATTTGTATTATTTTTATTATTCATTATAGCAATAGGCCTTCAATGCAAAGATCCAAAATAATGCTATTTTAGATTTTTAAACAACATCAGTAGTAAAATGGATCCAGTAGTAAAAAAAAAAGGAAAAAACAAATCTACATGTTATAAAACCTTTTTAAAGAATTAATTAATAGGTCACTTGGGTTGATTTCAGAACATCTGCAAGATGTGCGTGGAAAATTCAGTTATTTCCAGTTATTTCAAAAGCCTTATAAGTTAAGATTGAACATGATCATTTTATTTTCTTTTTTTTAAAACAACTTTCATGTGGCATTACTTTTTTAAAGAAAGAGGAAATTCTATGTTGTTTTTTTATAATGGCATTTGATAAAAATTTCAAACACTGTTGACAAAGTTTTATAATCTTAGAGAGAAGAGACCTGTAACATTAACTATGAATCTTCAACTTATACTTTAGATATGATCAGCTATACAGCAGATAAAACCTTAGTTGATATAATATCTGCACGTTGCTCAAATAGAATTAAATGAATGTTTGTAACTAATGTGCATTGATGTTATTTTCATGAGACGATAGAGGAGCTGAATGCATGGAGAATTTTAACATTTAATGGTAAATATTTATACATTACATAGAGGATAGTAGTATTGCACCAATGTAATTTGTTGGCCCCGATACCTGGCTTTGCAGTATCGGCCGATACCATACTGATACCATCTGTTTGGAAAAAGGAAAAGGAAAAAGACTAATACAAAGTGAATCCAGTAGAACTTTATATTGCCTACCTGGAATGAGTGACAATAGCTGAATAAACTTTTGGCTCTCAAAATGGTATTGGTGCCTTATTTGTTGGTACTTGCCTATACCGATACCACCATTTTAGTGCTGTTTTGGGGCCCCACCCAATACTGGTATCAGTATCGGTGCAAAACTAGTGGATAGAGAGGGTTGACAGTGCCTAGAATAATACAAACTGATGTGGTGCACCTTGAATTATCACATTTATTTTAGTTTCCTGGAACTTTCATTTCTTAATGCTTTTAATATATATAAACATTTAATCATCGATGCATAAGGCAAGCAAGAACATACAGAATACAGACAATAGCAATAAAATCTTTAAGGCTCTTGGTTCAGTACTTCAAGCAAGACAAATATGAAGACATATAGGTCATAAAGACATAAAGTCTGGGTTTTAACTAAAATTTTGAGCTGTGAATGTGGAGTTTTGCAATGAATAATATTAAGTAGTCTGTATCACAAGGTCTTTCTTTTTGGGGGTCTTCAAACAGAAAGAGCAACATAATGGGCTATAGTTTGGTTTACTCCTCTGGTCTGTTACTATTATTTCCCTCATTAAGTTGTTAGTTTTCTACTTAAGAATGGGTCAGAGTTGCTAATTGCTATGTTAGGATTCAGTATGTTGTTAAAAAAAGACGAGATTTACATTTGTACTCCTGTTTACTTGGTTTAGTTGGGTAGGGAAGTGAAGAGGCGGAACCTTTGTTTTGAGGCGTTTGTAGCTTCACGTTTGTTTACGGCGGACATTCTGTTTTCTCGTATGCACTTGCGCTTATAGAAAATACCAAAATTACAAATTTCCCTCCCAAAGTATTGATATAGCACTAAACTACAAAATATAAACGGTTAAAAATGATTTTTTTCTTTTCTGGTATAAATACATGCGTTTTTTTTTTTTTCTCGTTTTTTTTTTGAAGAGAAAGTACTCGCAGAAGTCTCAAAAACAAAACGATTCAACCACCAGGGGGCAGTACAGATACAAAAAGAGATACAAAAAGATTAAGCGTGTAATGCAAGACACATTGCCATAGTAATAAAAGATTAAAAGGCTGGTGATCAAAACTGTTTCCGATTCTTTTAAAACTGACAAGGAGCTGTGATACGTTGTATTTCAAAATTTAGATCCTATTTACCCACAAATGATGAGAAGGTCAACAATCCACCAGTCTCCAATATATCACTGTTAAATATTAAGTTTTTATCCAACCAATCCTTAATGAATATTGTCTCAGGATAATATTATTCTGCTGTAGAATCGTAGAATTATGAGATGTCAAATTCTGATTAACTATTAGCTTTCAAAACTGCAGTATTTAAGAAATATAGATAATCAGCGGTGCTGTTGTTATTTTAAAACCACAACTACATACAAATTCAACTTAATTTTTAAAAAATATGTAACTTAATGAAAGCACATTCAGATGTGTTATAAACTTTTTCAACAATTTGTTTTTAATTCCCCAACATTACAGCTTTTAAGTAACCGTGGTCTTCCAATATTATGTGTTTTGTTTTTCCATAGAGACGATACTCCATTTGTAACACTTATTGAGCAAATTCAGTTATGTTGATGCGATGGAATAGGGACAATTTCACATATCTTAATATTTAACGTTAGATCTAAAAATTTTGAATGTAAAGAAATAGTGTCAAGGGTGTTATATAGCATTTAATATTTTTTTTTTTTAACAATAGCTCTGTTGTGAGCAAATTGACTTATTTTAAACTGTCAATAAAAAATGTTAACTCCTTGTAACATAGGCTTATTAATACTAGAAATTGTTTAAAGACATTTAGCTAAAACAAAAAAATTGGTGAAGTCAGACAATATTTAACTTTCTTTTGGGATTAATAAAGTATTTTTGAATTGAACTGAATCCCTGGCAAACATGCCAGACCTAAAATCTACTACAATGAAAAAAACAATCATAAGATTTACTTAAAAAATATATTGTATTTGCATGCAAATGATTTAAGTAAAATTTAATGTTGCAATATTTAGTAACACTCACTTGCCAGTACCAAGTGAATTTTACTTGCCATAAAACATAACAGTTGTGAGGTATTATGTTACATTTATTTAATTACATCCATGTTGCAAGTTAGATTTATTTAAACAAATTAAGTAAAGTGTACTTTTTTTCATAGGCACAAACAGCACTTTACTCAAAATTTTAAGTAAATCTTATATCTCTGTAGTATTTGCTGTTGTGAAGTAATTAAGTAGATATTAATTTTTTTCCTGTTCTTGACATATTGATTTACTTTGTTGCATTATGTTACATTATTCACTAATATTAGGTAATCATTGCCAGTTTTCTTATGATAAATGTTACCAAATAAATTTAAGTAATCTATACATTTAATATACATTAAATAGCTTATTTTTAATTTTAAACAGTTTAACAAAGAAGTAAATACCCTATTGTAATAAATTGCCCAATCTTTCATGGGCCAACCAGAAATTTGACATTCCAACTTCCATCCATCCATTTTCTGTCACACATAATCCCTGCTGGGGGCGCGAGGGGTGCTGGTGCCTCTCTCCAGCTGTTAATGGGCGAGAGGCGGGGTGCAACCTGGACAGGTCGGCAGTCTATCGCAGGGCAACACAGAGACACACAGAACAAACTACCATTCACACACACCTAAGGACAATCTAGAGATGCTAATTAACCTAACAGTCATGTTTTTGGACTGGGAGGAAGTACCAGGAGAGAACCCATGCAGGCACAGGGAGAACATGCATACTCCATGCAGAAACACCCTGGGCCAAGAATCGAACCTTCTTGCTGCAAGGCAGCAATGCTACCAGAGATGACAAAAGTACTCACTTTCCGTACTTGAGTAAAAGTACAGATACTTGTGTTAAAAAATACTCTGGTAAAAGTGGAAGTACTGATTAAACTTCTTTACTCAAGTAAAAGTAACAAAGTACAGGCTTGTAAATTTACTTAAAGTATAAAAGTAAAAGTAGAAACCACTTTTTTCATGCCGTTGCCTACATTTTAAATGGATGTCTGCCAATAGGACTAGATCTCCATTGTGTTCATTTTCAATCATCTCGTCGTCCATACTACTATGCTAAAGCCACCGCCACCAAGCTGCAATGATTTGCCGCGATGAATACCGCCGAATCTGTCGATTCATCTTGTATTGGTGCGTCAAATGCAACGTAGATTCCCATCCAATTAGATTGAATTTTGAATTTGGTAACTCCATTGAAATGATTCAAAACTAAAGTAACGAGCCAATTTTTAAAAATGTAAGGAGTAGAAAGTACAGATATTTGTGTAAAAATGTAAGGAGTAGAAGTAAAAAGTCGCAATAAAAATAAGTAGTAAAGTAAAGTAAAAATATCAGAAAAATCTACTTGAGTACAGTAACGAAGTATTTGTACTTCGTTACTTCCCATCTCTGAATGCTACCCACTGCTACGCACACAGGGAGAACACAGCACAGGGAGAACATGCATACTCCATGAAGAAACACCCCGGGCCAGGAATCGGACCTTTTGCTGCAAGGCAGCAGGGCTACCCACTGACCCACTGGGCAGCCCTCTAACTAGCTTCTTGCTTTTCAAATATGCAATAAAAAATGTACAACCCTCTGAAACTGAGAGTTTCGTTACAGAAATATACTCATATGTAAGGTCAAG